TCTCTCCTTCTCCTTTCCTCTCTCGAAAATCAGTAAAAATACATTTAAAAATTAAAATAAAAAAATTAGGTATCTTTCACTTGGCCCTTTCAGGACATACCCTCAAATATCCTTAAGAGGCGGCGGGGAGGGTACCACTCCCAGCTTTGCATTGGGACTCCTCACGTGGACAGAGGTCATGGAGAGGCGGTCCTGGCCAGAGCCATTCTCACTGACTTTGAGAGAGTGACCAAGACCAGTTACCAAAGTCCCCTGAAGAATCTTTTGACCAACCCCTGCCAAGCAGGACAGGAAGTTTCAGGGTTTAGCCAAACTTCGGATAAATCCTGAGGTTCATGCATTCATTCACTCACTTGTACCACACACATTCCTTGAACATCTGTTGTGTGCCCAGCACTGTGCCGTAAACAGACAGTGATAAACAGTACACATGTAGCCTCTGCCTCGCTTAGCTTGATTATTTTTTTTTAAATATGTTTTATTTATTCTTTCACAGAAAGGAAGGGAGAGGGACAGAGAGCTAGAAACATCCATGAGAGAGGAACATCGATCAGCTGCCTCCTGCACACCCCCTACTGGGGATGTGCCCACAACCAAGGTACATGCCTTTGACCGGAATCAAACTTGGAACCTTTCAGACCGCAGGCTGATGCTCTATCCACTGAGCCAAACCTGTTAGGGCTCTCAGCTTGATTATTAGAGGAGATGGACATTAAACAAATCATTACCCCAATAATCATATTTTGTAATTGTGGTAAGTGCTGGAGCCTTTCTTTAAGTAACTAAACTTCCTCTTGGTGCCTCTTGGTCTGAAATAGACTATGATACAATAATTCACCTTGAGAAGAGGAAGTACAGGGTCCCAGGACCTGGGAAGAAATACCCAAATAACTTCCACAAGTCTGTGGCCATACATGAGAACTCACTGGAAGGCACTGGGAAAGCTGCCCTTTGCCATTGCTTTATTTGCTTTTGGAGATCACATCAGACTCCGCTGATGTTTTCTGGCAGAGCCTGTTTTTGGTTCTCCCTGGAGAAACAGGTGTAGAAAGCCAGATGGTTGTGAAAGGCAAGGTCATGAACCGCCCCTACTTCCAGGCAGAGCAGGGTCTTCGGCTCCCTCCGGAGTTGCATCAGTACCTCTGGCACTCAGATTGGTTATTCAATTAAAATCTTAGACCTTTCAACTTTCTTCATACTGCTTGGAGAAACTGCAATTCACATCTCCTAAGCAGCTCAGCAGAACTTGGTTGCTAGGCAGCAGACCTTTAACAATTTGTCAATTTCTGCCAAAAGAGAGAAAAATAGTAAACATTCACATTCTTAGAAAATTGCTTGTTTTCCAGCTTCTAACTTTCCTGCCACGGCAAGGCTTCCAGTTTATCGGTGGCCATTTTATTCTTTATTTAGTTTTTTCATAAATAATTCAGAAGCAGTTTAAGAGAATAATTGAACCTTTTTTTCAAGCCTAACCTCTGCCAACTCAAAGCATGGTATTTGGTTTACAACTCGGTTGCCATGTTTGTGGATGGGTTTTTTGTTGTTGTTTTAAATATTTTTTATTGATTTCAGAGAGGGAAGGAGAGAGAGAAATATCAATCATTAATGATGAGAGAATCATTGATCAGCCGCCTCCTGCATGCTTCACACTGGGAATAGAGCCTGCAACTTGGGCATGTGCTCTGACCGCGAATCGAACCATAACCTACTGTGCATAGGTTGATGCTCAATCACTGAGCTGCACTGGCCGGGCTGGACAGGTTTTATGTGAATGTACAGAAGCTTCTCTGAAAGGTAGAGGGTTCAGCTGCGTGTAGCCTTGGGCAGCAAGGTGGTGGCAGGTCCATGGGAGGTTCTGGAGTCCTTCAACTTTTGTTAGCACCTAGCATGTGCCAGGCCCTGTCCACTGTTGGGCTCCAACCTCCTGCCCGGCCGGACCTCACTGAGATCACCTTATGGGGAGACATGGCAAGAAACCAGGAGATTCCCTTATTGGGGCTATGGGAGTGCAGAGGAAGCCCAGGACCCAGCCTGGGACTGGGGAAGGCTTCCCAGACAGATGTGGGCTGCACTGAGACCTTAAGGATGAAGCAGGCCAGCCCGGCCTTGGCAAGGGAGACGTGTGTCCCGCAGGTCCTCCCATGTGCCCAGGGAGAAAAGTGAAAAGTGCTCTGGATACTGCATCTGGATGGGCACGGGGCCTGGTAGGCCTTGCAGCTCAGTCTGAGGGCAGCTGCAACTTGCAAAAGCCTCCACCTGATTTGCATAGTCGAGTCCTAGCAGAAGCCACTTGATTTGACTTCAGGTTAACTCAAGGGAATTGACAGTGAGCCCTGTGGCCAAAAGGGGCTGTGGGCAGTGCAGATGATGTCGGAATGGTCTTGGTGTGGGGTACTTTTGCCACTTCCAACACGCAGGACCTTGTAAAGGTTCTTTAACTAGATCGAGTCTCATGTTTCTCAGCTGTAAAATAGGAATGATGGTAGCTCCCACCTCAGGGTTAGTATAGGGCCTGATAATAAATTAACTCAAGAACAGCCCTTACATGGTACTGGGCACACAGTACTCTTTACCATTATGATAGTGCTGCTTTACCCTGCTTACGTGAGTCCTCTGCCCGAAAGAGCCACTGGTGTCCAGTCTGCCACCTGCTCCCTGAGGGACCCAGAACGAAACAGAACTCTCTCGAGATCAGACTCCTCTCTCCTGAATCTCCCTCTCCGAGTTGAGCCCGGGACCCCTTCCTGCTCGGAATTCTCAATGCTGGGCCTGTTCCTAGGTCAGAGTCACTTCTCCCCCGCTGGTGTGGCTTCACACTCTGGCCTCCAGCTCGGGCAGCACCCGGGTCCTTTGGCTTTGAACCCTGTGTTGCTTTGTTCAGGTTCAACTTTGGGTGTATCTACGAGATGTCTCGTTCTGTTACTGTGGGTTCAAAAAGCACAGCTGAGAGCCAGCTGGGAGCCTCAGATTCATCAGATAATCCCTCAGAGAAGCCCTTTCATTCATTTGCTCTGTCACCTATTACGTGCCAGTCGCCATGCACTGAGAATGCAGCAGAGACCAGGACAGTGTGTCAGGGGAGAGGATGTGAGACAGGCAGCATGAGCGCACCAGCTCATCTTCAGAGTTGGAAGTACTGGGAAGTGAGGCAGGATGCTGGGGTAGAAAGTGGCTCTGTTGGGCAGTTGGTGCTCCCTGAGTTGGGATGATCAAGGAAGGAATCCCGGAGGAGGTGGCATTTAAACCATTCCACAGGATGAAGGAACAGCAAGAGATTTTAAACACACCCAGGCCTCTTTGGAGGGGCTCACAGGGACACTGGGTTCCTGAAGGGTTACTCTCTGGGTCAGGAAGATGGACGGTCCAGGTGGGTGGCTCCCCTTGGCTCCAGAGCAGCAGGGCTTTGTCTGTCCTGCCCCATGGCTTGCCTGGGTTGGGAGAGCTCTGAGGCAGTGATGAGTCCACTGTGGGTTCAGTTCGCCTACCAGGTGGGCTCGGCTGAGGCCACAGCTAGGAAGGGTTCCCACAAAAGCACCGAGTATCTGAGTTTGCGTTCTTGGATCAGCTGGCTTACTGCTTGCTAATAAGATATGCAAATCACCAGGGCTGTAAAATCTTCACCACATTCCATCTTCTGTTTAATTAGCATTTAATTGTAATCTCATTTTAATTTTTTCACACTAATTAAATGTTAGGGTATTCTTCTTAACAATTAACTTATATTGGCAAATAGAATCTTCAAGAAACTTGACCCTTTTCAAGCCAGGGCCCTCGCTAGCTGGATGCAGATGTTAATTAGATTTCGGCAAGATGCTGCCTCAGACCCCCCCTTGGTGCACCCATTTCAGTTGTTTTCTTGCTGTTCTGGCCCTCGATTCAAATGAGACACATAACCAGCGACCTGGGCCCCCAGCAGGCAGAGGTTGCCGTGAATGAGTTTGTCATGAGCCTCCGAAAAGCCAGGAGATGCTGACTTTTCCAGGGAGGGTGGTTTTGAAGTTTGGTCTGAGGCCTCGAGCACGCTTTGAAGTGGTTTCTCTTGTCTTGTTGACGCGATCACTTCTCTAACTTGTGATTCTCATATGATGATCGCTGGGAAAGCTGGTACCTATGTAAGTCACCTCGTTTGGAGCTGCCACCAAGTCCCTCGGCAGCCCTTCCCGGGAGGCCACTGGAGGTCAGGTAACCAGGGTCCAAGAGTCACTGCCAGTGCCACGGGCTGAGCTTAGAGACTGCATGGGGAGATGGGGGCACAGCAGAAAGAAGGTTGGGAAGAGCAGTTTCCTGATTGACCAGAGAAAACCAAAGCATGAGGGTGTGTCCACTCAATGGCCTGGTTCTGAGGGGCCTTGGGTGGGCTTGACTGAGAAGGAATCCAACCCCATCCTCCTACCCCATCACACACACAGAATGGGACTGGGGAGCCCCTGCTGAACAGGGACCTGGCGTCCTTGACCTTAGAGACTCTGACCCGGGGGAAGTGTTCCTTTGGGGTTGCCCCAAACCCCACCTCCCCTCAGCTGTTCGCATAAGGTCCTGGCATTTTGTTTGCCCTGGTCGGTGCCCTGCAGTCTTTACATCTCCACTGTGCCTGTAGCACTGTGTTTGCAACTACAAGCATCATTTTAAGCATTTGACAGAAATTCCCCAGTCTCTTAATGGCAGTATTGCATTCACAGAGGCCTCTTTTTTTCTCTCTCTCTCTCTCTCTTTCCCAGCCTTTCCTGTTCCCTCTGTAGTCCACTCCCATCCATCACTGTCCTTTAGCAGGTCAGAACACATATGAATTCAACTTAACACATTTATTGAATACCTGCTGTGTGCAAAGCACTGTTTAGAGAAGATGCATTATTGCACTTAGTGCATTTGTGTTGGCTTCTGACTTTAAGGGAGTGGGCAGAGAGCCCACTTGAGTTGTATTTGCCTCTTCTTCCCTTTGCCTGGGGAGCAGGCCACCGGAGGCAGTCTGAAGCCACTCCCGCCATCCTTGCTCCCCACAGGTTTTCCGGACAGACTTGATCACAGCGATGAAGATCCCAGACTCATACCAGCTCAGCCCGGATGACTACTACATCCTGGCGGATCCGTGGCGACAGGAATGGGAGAAAGGTGTGCAGGTGCCCGCTGGGGCAGAGGCCATTCCAGAACCCGTGGTGAGGTGAGCCGGGCAGCCCAGGCCAGGGGCTCAGGCAGGGGAAGAAGGGAGGGGGGCCTAGGACCCCACATGGGATCCACCATTCCTGGGATTCCTTGCTAGCCTAGCTTTATTTTGTTTTAGATTTTTTTTTTTTTTTTTTTTTTTTGGCCCATAAACCATTGAAATATTCCAGAAATACTAGCAGTTTACCTTTGAGACTAACCTCTTGGGCTTGGGCTCAGCTGTGGGGCCAGACAGCCTAGGGTTTAAATAGCCATTCACCGTCAAGATGATGTTGGGCCAGAAATATAATCTCCCTGGGCCTCAGGTTTCCTTGTCTGTGAAATGGGAATGGTGACAATACTATTTACCTCCTACTGGTGGTGGAGTTGATGTAGGGAAATGATGCCTGAAAGGACTTGGCACAGGGTCTGGCACACAAGTATTCAGTAAAAACTGGCCCGGATTAGCCTGATGTCGAGCCAAACTGGGTCCCACAAGCACGTCTTAATCAGGGAAATCGGCAGACTTGTAATGACTCCTTAAGAAAGGGATAAGCCATGCTCTTGACTTCTTAAACCTCTGTAAGGAGTTCTTAGTGGGAGGGATGCTCAGGAAGCAGCTGCTGTGACCAGCCGCCTGGGAGGCCCCCTGCCAGGGCTGAGTCCGCTGGGCTTGTGGGTCAGAGAGACCCCTGGTGCTCTCGTCAGGAGGTGGCCTCGTGGCCCTGGGCCATGCCTCCAGCAACAAAGTTCAGCCAAGTGCTTCTTTCTGTTCCCTGGGAAACCCTCCAAGTCATGTCTTGGGGCAGAGGGGCCCTCTGACCCGCCCTCCCCCCTCCCACCAGCTCACCAGGGTTGGACAGCTTGTGTTTTAGCAGTCCACTCCTGGCCTTGGCAGCTCCAGAGCTCTTGCTCAGGCCCATTTGACTGGGCCTGGGGCAAAGATCACAGCTGCCACCTCCCATGACATTGGCACTGCTGCTTCCTGGCAGCCACACCCATGACTGGCTCACAGACACCCAGTGCCCTCTTGGTGCCAGGCCTGTGCTGGGCATGGATTATAGAGGCAAAGCTAATCCCCGTGCAGGTGCTCAGTAAGGATTGGGTACTGCGCAAGGCTCATCCTCCTGTGGCTCCTAAGGGCTGAGTGCCTACCAGTCTGGTCTGGGGCCTTTGAGAATCAGGGAGCTTCAGAGTCTCTGGGAAAAACACATGAGAACTTGGAGGAAGAACTTCCTCTCCACATCCCCTGCCCAGGGCCAAAAATGTGGGGCAAGCTCCTAACCAGTTCCACACCCGTCCCTCTGCAGACAAGAATGCTACTGCCCTTTTGAGCCTGTTTCTCCTCTGTCAAATGGAGCTAAGAACGGTGCCTGCCTGATGGTGTGCTGGTGAGGGCTGAATGAGAAAACATGGGCCAGGAGCCCAGGGTAATGAGCTGGGGGCACCAGCTGGGTGGAAAGAGGTGAGTCCTGATTAGGCTCAGCCCAGCAGTCTGTCCCCTCTCCTTGATGTCAGTGTCAGGTGGTTCGGGAAGCATCGCTGGCCTGGGTAATTAACTGCAGATGCTTCCACACCAGTAGCTTGGCTTCAGCCTGCCTTATCTGTTGACATCAAGAGGGAGAGCACGTGTTCAGGCAGCTCTGGCTCTGCTGGGTGCATTCCCCACATATGCATGTGCTGTAAGCTGACAGGAGCCAGGCAGCCTGGCCTGGCCATGCTCTTTGAAGAGGATAGACTGCAGGCAGGGAAGGGTGCGCTCTTGGAGAGATCTCCATGCCACTTCTTCCCCTGCCTCCCTCCACCTTCTTCAGCACCTCCTGCTGCACAGCCCTCGCCTGGAGGCCAGCGTGGCAGCCACTACAGTCAACATTCTTACAGGAACTCTCCTCCTGAGAACTTGCTCTGCTGAGCTTGTTATCTTCATCTTCTCACTTAATTATCATATTAGCCCTATAAAATACATATTACTGTCCCCATTTTATAGAAGAGGAAGTTGGGAAATTCTGGGGAATTCCCTGCATGACTGTCAGGGCCTAGAGGGCTGGGCCAGGAAATCACAGGCCCTGGGAACGAGCCTGGGTTACCTCTGTGAGGCCCAGAGAGAGCCTGCGCCCTCATCACCCTGCATGTAGGTTCTGACCGTCCTCCCTGGCTGCTCCCCTAGACCCCTCTGTCTCTGCCTCCTTCCCCCATCTTCCCTGGCCCTTGGGCAGGTCTGCTCACCTCATGGTCTGAAACGTATCTGGGTAATGAGAATCTGTCATGGCCCCAGATCATGAATTGAGTGAAGGTTTACTCAGCTCCCTCGGTGTGTCCAAAAGATTCAGCCCCAGGCTGAACCAACCTCTGGTGTCTGTTTGGTCCTTTGGAGTGGAGACCCTCCCTGCTCCAGATCCCAACCAGGCCACCCATCTCCTCCCAGCTGACCTCAGTACAGCTGGCTGCAGCTGAGACTGAGACCTTGGCCTAGGTCAGACTGGCCCATGCCTGGTGCGAGAGCTTCCTCCTTAGCCAGAGCCAGAAGAGGCCAAACGGATGAAGGTGAGGCCCAGGAAGCACAGGAAATGCCTTTCTGATGAGCCTCTTAACCCAGCTTCCCAGAGAAAGGAATGTGATATTGGCCCCAGAGCTCTGGCCGGGTGGCAACTGCCTGGGTATAAGGTGTGGACAGTTATGCCGGTAGGTGGTGGGCATTTGGGCAAAAGTTATCCAAAACCCAAACTAAGCATATGCTGGGGGCACAAACAGAGCAGGGTCATGACAGAAATCAGTCTGTGTTTTTAAAAGAATGTATTAATTCAGATAAGAGTCTCATGAGGAAAGGCGTAATTTTATAGGGCAGAGTGTTCATCTTGCTTCTATTGTGGGGGCCCGGCCGGCATGGCTCAGGGGTTGAGCATTGATCTATGAACACAGAGGTCACAGGTTTGATTCCCAGTCAGGGCACACGCCCAGGTTATGGACTCGATCCCCAGTGGGGGGCATGCAGGAGGGAGCCAATCAATGATTCTCTCTCATCATTGATATTTCTCCCTCTCCCTTCCTCTCTGAAACCAATAAAAATATATTTTTTTAAAAAGAGAGAGAAAAAAAAGAAATGACCTTTTAGGGGAATTGGGGGAATTGTGCCAGCATCATCATCATCATCACCCACAGCCTTCTTTAATCTGGCCTCTTTATGGAAAGGTGGCACCAAGCCCTTTTCTCCTTGCCCCCCTCAACTGCCTCTGGGCTTACCCCCTGGTTTGGAGGCCATTCTGCCTCCTGCCTCCTTCATCCTTCCTGCCTCTTGCTGACACCAGGGCATTTCCTGGAGTCCAGGGCCCTGCCCTCTTCTCCTGTCTGCTCTGAGTCACAGCCCCTGGCAGCCCTGTCTCCAACCCCAGGAGGCCTCCTGGGCAAGTGAGAGGTCTCTCAGCTCTGCAGGCAGGGCTGGCCAGACAGAGGCCAGGCTCCACAGCCATAACCATGGCAACCAGTGTAGGGGGGGGGGCAGTGGAGAGGGGGAAAGCTGGCATTTTGAACTGGTATCAGAAACTGAGGGGCGGCACACCGCTGAACCAAGACGGGGCATGTGCCCTCCCAAGGCCAAAAGCGCTCTGCTCCATTTCAGAAGGAGCGCAGTGATGTCTAGAGGTCTTAAAAGACACATGGAGGGCGTACTGTGTGCCAGGCACTGTTCTAGGGGCTTTACAGGTTTTCATGCATTTCCTCTTCACGCCAACCATGGAAGGTAAATACTATTCTTATCAGCCCGCTGTTTGGATGAGGTCACAGAGAGGTTAAGTGGCTTGCCCAGAAGTACCCACTGAGTGGGGCAGCAGGGCTGAGTCCCCATTCTGCACCCAGGGCCCTTCCAAGCTGCCTCAGAGGCAGCACCATGCCTGAGGGAGGGTTTCCCGGAGTGTGATCTGGGACTGATCCAAGTCTAGGTGCATCTTAGTATGTATCCAGGGGAGGCAGTGTCCCCTTGGCGTGAGGGGAGCCCTGTGGACAGAGACTCGCTGCTCAGGTGACATTCTGTTGAGGGGGAAGGGCAAGGTGTGTGGACAGCACTGCTCTCGGTGGCAGAGCCACCCCGGGCAGCAAGAATGTAGCCGGAGAGGACTCCTCCCAACCACAGGAAACATAACCTCATTTCTTCTCGGGTTGGGGGTGAAGGAGGAACCTGGGCCGGTGAGGGCAATCCTGGCCTCTCCGCAGCCTTGAGGGCTGTGCTGAAGGGTCTGGAGCCCACCTGGCTCTGTTCCACGTGTCCCAGAGTGGCAGGCACGGGAAGTTGCCTAGGACAGCACTTGGAATGCCTCCTACAGGCCAGGGCAGGGCAGATCCAGGTCGTGGGGCTTTAGCTAAGGCCCAGGTGCCCGCTCTGAGCAGAATGGATGTGTATAGAGGGATGGCTGTGGGTCAGCCCCCACTCTCATCCTCCACTCTGCCCACAGCCCTGTTTTCCTCCCTGCTTGCTCATAGTCATCTGAGACTGCAGGGTGGGCAGGGGGGAGAAGGAAGTATAAGAAGGGAGTGAAGTGTGGGCACTGCTGGGATCAAAGTCTCACTAGGTCCTCAGCTGGGCTGGCCAGCTCACCAGATGCCCCCAGACCTAGCAAGGGTGGCAGACGGAGGGTCCTTCCCCTCGTGACACCACCCCCTCTTGATTTCCTAGGATCCTCCCGCCGCTGGAAGGCCCCCCTTCCCAGGTGTCCCCTAGCAGCTGCGAACTTGGCGAGGGCTCCCAGCCTGATTGGCCAGGGGGCAGCCGCTATGACCTGGACGAGATTGACGCCTACTGGCTGGAGCTCATCAACTTGGAGCTCAAGGAGATGGGTAGGTGACCTGCCAGGCCGAGCATGGGATCGGGGCAGGCCAGGCAGGGCCTTCTTCTGATCCCAGCGTCCTCACCCTCAGAAGGACAGCAGCCACAACTGGGCTTTTGCACTGAATGGATCTGGGTGACAGTCCTGCAGCATTACTGATTGGAGAATTTACTGGTGTCTCTGTGCCTCAGTTTCTGTAACTGTCAAGCGAGGATGATACTAGCATGTAATTGACGGTTCTTGGGAACAGAGTTAGTCAACGTGACTGTTCCATGAAGAGTGAGCATGGACTTCCCAGCTGGAGTCCACTAGCATGTAGCAGGGCCAGCTCTGTCCTATCCAGCCACCTTCAGAGGTCCCCCCTACACACAGCTCAAGCAGTGGATTCCTCAGGGAGCCAGCCGCCTCCCGGAGATGCTGTCTGCATGGACACGTCATGTGTGTGGTTGCAGGCAGGCTGTCTAGTGTCAGAGCACCACCACAGGCCCCAGGGCCTTTGAGCTCGGATGGTCCAGCCCATTCAGTTCTCAGACAATGGAGCTAAGGCCCACGACTGCCCACCTGCTTTCCCAGGTCACAGCAGATGAGTGGAAACCCTCTCATCCCTCCGCCCCGAAAAGCCACACCGCTCACTCCCTCCCCTGTCGTCCTCACAGAGAGGCCAGCGCTGGACGAGCTGACCCTGGAGCGTGTGCTGGAGGAGCTGGAGACCCTGTGCCACCAGAACATGGCGAGGGCCATTGAGACGCAGGAGGGGCTGGGCATCGAGTACGACGAGGACGTCGTCTGTGACGTGTGCCGCTCCCCCGAGGGCGAAGACGGCAACGAGATGGTCTTCTGTGACAAATGCAACGTCTGCGTGCACCAGGTGGCCAGCCCCCCAGAGGCCCCTATCCACACGGGGTCCTCACACGCAGCCTGGAGCTGATCGTCCTGGCTGGGAGCGTAGCAGCACTGTGGGCACAGGCTCCTCGGAAGGGCAAGGCGGGAGGAAGGGACTGGCATGGTTGTCCGGTGGTGCTGGGCCAGCTCCGTCAGCCAGACCTGAGTACAGGCCCGTCGGATGATCTTCCTGTCCTCCCCTGGCAGACTCCCCACCGAGCACACTGCCCCTGCCTCCCTCCTCTGCTCCTCACCAACCTGGACCACCAAGGCGGTCAGTGCAGTGATTGAGAGCAGAGCCTGGAGCCAGGCTGCCTAGTTTCAAATTGTGGCTCTGCCCTTTACAAGCTCTGTCGTCTAGAGCGAGTTTCTTAAGTCCTCTGGACCTCTCTCTCCTCAGCGGTACATAAGATTAGGTGATAGTAAGGTCAGAGTTATTGGCTTCGGACAGTATCATAAGGGCTCGAAGTGTTCGTTACCGTTGTTGATATAAACTGGGTCTGGCCTGACCGGACCCACCCCTTGGACCTTGGGCACCCCTGGGCCGTGTTTGCAGATCTGACTAGAACATAATGGACCCACTCTGGCTCTGACTTTGACACCCCCCTGTCCTCCCCACACACACACACAGCTGCTGGACTGTCTCCTGGAGCTCAGAGAGGCCTCCCCTGGCTGGTGGTGGGAGGCAGTACACCCCATTCGTCCACACCCCTTATACTCAGCAGTTCTTCTTTTCATGAACCTCACATGACTAGGAGGATCCCCTTCACAGACGCCTGTGAAAATGATGGAAGGTCTGCTCCTTGTCCTCGGGCAGTATGCACACCAAAACACCTCAACCACAGGCTGCATGGACACTTCTGAGGCCCCTCTCTGATTAGAACCCTCGGGCTAAAGTGACAGAGCCTTTTCACAGAGGCCTGAAATGGTGACATTTCTGGCACACCACACAGACGAGTCCTCCTTGCCAGAGCCTGGTAGTAGGGTAGTTTTGTAGTTCCTAGCCCGGGTAGGCCTGGGACAGTCACAGCTGACTCCTGACCAGATGCACATTGACCAATGCCTCTGACCTGTGACCACCCTGCTCTCTTCCCAGGCCTGCTATGGGATCCTCAAGGTGCCCACAGGCAGCTGGCTGTGCCGGACGTGTGCCCTGGGTGTCCAGCCAAAGTGCCTGCTCTGCCCCAAGCGAGGAGGAGCCTTGAAGCCGACCAGAAGTGGGACCAAGTGGGTGCACGTCAGCTGCGCTCTGTGGATTCCTGAGGTGGGCAGGTGGGGGCAGGGGAGGAGCTGGGGGAAGTGGGTGTGTGTGGAGCTCAGAACTTGGGGGGACAGAGCTCTGGAAAAGGAGGGAAATGGTTCACAAAAGATGGGATCTCGGATGTTGAGGTGGAGAACACTGGAGCCCCTGGGAACTTTGCTATGGACGTGGTCAGAACTCATGTGGTGGTGTCCAGGGGAAATGGACCCTGGGAATCCAGTGGTAGGTCTGAGAGCTGGACATAAGTCAGGCAGCTGAACGGGGAAAGCCGGCTGTGGGCCCACCCTCATCGAGGCAGTGGTTCCAACTAAAGTCAAGCTGCCTTGCTAAAACAGAAGTAAGCCAGCTGACCTGAAAGGAAATTGGGTGGCAAGCCTAAATGAAAGTCGGATAGTGGGCCTGCTACTGGGACTGTGGCTAGCTAGAGGGGTGGCCCGGGTCTGAGTCTAGGTGGGGAGGGACCGTGGGTTTACAGACTAGATCCACAGTGAGGTCACAGAGGCCCTGGGCTCCCATTTTATTTAAAATGGGAAATGCTGAGATCTACTGGAGTTTCAGCCCCGGCCCTGTTATGTGCCCTGACCCGAAATGAGACCTCACTCCAATGCTGCCATGCCCGGGAGCAAGCCAGGTAGCCCTCACCTTCCTGGGCTCCAAGTCTGAAGGTCCTTGCTGAGACCCGCGTTGCAGGCTTCTGTGATAATGGTGCTTGTGTCAGCAGTGGTCATTTGCTCCCACTGAGTATGCCCTGGGACAGAGAGACCCCTGACTGTCCCAAGCTGACCACAGAGCGAGTGTGGGCTCACCTGCGACAGTGGGGGCCCTTTGGTTTAGGACTTCTGGGCAGGGGCTCTGCCATCTGTAGGCATGGGCAAGGGTGAGTGGGGGGTAGGGGAGCTGTGCCCAGGAGATGGGTATAGTCCCCACAGGAGACCCAGGAGGGCCTAAGCAAAGGCCCTGGAGGCCTCCAAGAGGAGATGCTACCCCGACCCTGAGACCATTACTTGTTGCCCAGAAAAATAATAAAATAAACACAAATGATGATGATAACTCGGAAGGTGCTATTGACACAGGGCTGAGGTACGGAAGAGAGGGGACCTTGCATGTACTCATTTAGACACACATATCTCTGTCTTGAGGTACACACACTGTAGGCACACACACTCAGTTACACTACTGATGTGCACTGTCTCACAGTCACAAACAACATCAGGCTTGTCGCAAGTGAGCCCACACTCACCCAGTGGTCACCTTGGGACAGTCAGGGAGGACTTCGGATTCTGGGGCTCTCCCATTGTCCTGTCTGCCTCCCAGCTGGTGTCAGCAGTCAGCCTCCCCCCCATGTGAGGGCCCTTGGGGCAGGCTGAGGACAAGAGGCCTGATGTAGCTCCCTGTGTCCTGCCCAGGTCAGCATCGGCTGCCCCGAGAAGATGGAGCCCATCACCAAGATCTCCCACATCCCAGCCAGCCGCTGGGCTCTGTCCTGCAGCCTGTGCAAGGAGTGCACGGGCACCTGCATCCAGGTACATGGCCCCTTCACCTCACTGCTGCCTGGGAGCCCATGCAGGAGCCAGGTGCCACCCCCTCCACCCACCCTGTGGTGCTACACGCAGAGCCACTAATGGGCCAAGGAAGCTGAGACTGGGACCAGTCAGAACCCCACGTGGGGAGGAAGGGAGGAGCATTCCTCCATCTCCCATTCCTCTAGGCACAGGGGGGCAGGTCTGGGAGCCAAGGCTTACCATCCCATTAGAGTGCTGAGGACTTTGACTTATTAAGCTCATGACCAGGTTTTTTTGTGCTCAATAAGTACATTGGCCTGGCTTCTGGCATCAAGCATTCTATGTAGCAGGCGTGGGAATCAAAGTTAGGCTCTTACCACACAAGGCAGGGCTGCAGTAGTCCATTGACGGCTGCGGTTCCAAATCCTAGTGTGATCTTCATTACCCGAGGGCTTGTTAAAACACAGATGGCTGGGGTGGGGCTGAGAATTTGCATTTCTAGCAAGTTCCAGGTGATACTACTGCTACTGGTCTATAGGCTGGGAGGTAGGGATATCCTGTTTCTCCTGTGTCTCTCCAGGAACAGTAGTCATTGCAAAAAACTAGCTGTGCCTCTGCCCATTGGTACAGCTTTCAGAAAGGCTTGTGAGTGCCTTTCTGAAAGCTGTACAAAGAGTTGGATGGGTTATTGCTGAGACAGTGATCAGCTGCCCACGACCATCCAAGGCTGGGAGGGAGGGGCAGGTGCTGCCTGGGCAAGAGAAGGAAAGGGTCCAAGTCCAACCCCTCTCCCCAGAGGACAAAGCGGGTCCAGCTCCCCTGACACTGCAGGAGCAGAGAAGGCAGTGACCCCTCACCAGTCTCTTTCGATGCCTCTGATTCCAAAGTCATTTTGCCCACACAGGCATGCAGCTTGCCCCCAGAGGGGTTGTCCAGCCATCTGCTTGTTGTCTTCCCCAGGTCTAAGGTGCCGAACCCCGTTTCCTTCCCAGCACTGCCTTCCCAACTGCCATAGCTCCCTCCATACCCTACAGGGTGTCAGGAGCCCGCGCCATTCTATTTAGGGTCTCACCGCATTCTTCGCTCTTGGAACCCTGTGGGGGGTGCCCACATCCTCCTCACCTCCCATTAGGGCTCCCTCCATGTCTGACACTGCGCTTGCTGTCCCTCCAGTGTTCTATGCCTTCCTGCATCACGGCATTCCACGTCACATGCGCCTTTGACCATGGCCTAGAAATGCGGACTATATTAGCAGACAACGACGAGGTCAAGTTCAAGTCGTTCTGCCAGGAGCACAGCGACGGGGGCCCGAGGGCGGAGCCCGCATCGGAGCCGGTGGAGCCCAGCCCGGCCGGCGAGGACCTGGAGAAGGTGACGCTGCGCAAGCAGCGGCTGCAGCAGCTGGAGGAGGACTTCTACGAGCTGGTGGAGCCGGCCGAGGTGGCCGAGCGCCTGGACCTGGCCGAGGCGCTGGTCGACTTCATCTACCAGTACTGGAAGCTGAAGAGGAAAGCCAATGCCAACCAGCCGCTGCTCACCCCCAAGACCGACGAGGTGGACAACCTGGCCCAGCAGGAGCAGGACGTCCTGTACCGCCGCCTGAAGCTCTTCACACACCTGCGGCAGGACCTGGAGCGGGTGAGTGCTCCCGCCGTCCCCCTGCCCGCAGGCCGCTGCCCGCTGCCCCGAGCAGCTGTGGCTCACCAGGACTCCCCCCGTGACCTCCGGCCCAGGGGCTGAGGGCCTCCAGGTCTCAGACACGGAGGAGGTTACTGACTTGGTAGAACGGGGAAGGATCCAACTCTTGGGTCTGAGTCCCTCAGGTCCCAACCCTTTGGAAGGCCCGGTGAAGGGTCCCGAGGCTGGAGATGCTGGAGCTGGGGCAAGGACCCAGGCATCCAGCTCCCCTGGCTCCCGGCCCCATTTGTGGCCTCTGAGCCCTGCCCGGGGGGCAGCACACAAGCTCCGGCTTAGAGTCAGAGGCCGGGGAGGAACTGGGAATGCCGAGTGAGCTAAAGCAGCCCAACGGGAATGTGCTGAGCCAGGGCAAGGAGGCCGGGTGTGACCATGGTGCCCCGGGATGCCGGACAGAGGAATGGAGTGAGCAGAGGGCTCACCTCTGTGGTGGGCTAAAGTGGCCTAGAAGTTACAGAAGGATTTTGAGCAGACACTGCCCTGCTGTGACTTCCACTTCCAAACACTCACCCCGAGGAGGGATCTAAGGGCCTGGAGGGAGTGGGCGGGTTGGCTAACCCCCCTCCCCCCCCAGCTGTGAGCTGAGAGACTGGTGTCCTTGGCTTAGCCCAGGGTGGTAGCGTTGGGGACCCAGTGAGATGACAAAGGGGTACAGACTCTGTGGTTTGGGGCTGAGCTATAGAGGTTGGGGAGCAGAAAGAGCCTGGAGGACCCTAAACCCCCAGAGAGAAAGTGAGGGGTCCTGGAACGTGCCTTCCCTTCCTTTCTGGAATGCCTTCCCTTCCACCTCCAGCTAATGAAGGGCCACCCCGAGCGGGGGGCAGCCCAAGGAGGAAACGGGATCCTCTGGTCCTGGGTCAGTCCTCTGAGTCCCAGCTGCTGGTCTGGTGCCCTGTGTGGGACATTCAGTTCAGGGTTCCAGGCCATGTGGGATGGTGGCCCGGTGTCCTGCACAGCAGACACACTTGCCCACCTTTCCCCAGGTCGTGTGAGGAAACACCCTGGGTGCAAGCATCTAGACTCTAGAGGGCCTGTGTGGCCTGAGGCAGTGGCTCCGTTGGCAAGTCTATAAAATGGGTAGAGCAGCTCCACAGCTGGTGTGCTGTGGGGGAGGCGGGAGCGGGCATGAGGCGGACGCTCTGAAGCTGGACTTCTCCACCTTCGGCCCACTCATCTGTCCTTCCATGTGGTCAAAGGGAACCGTGTGGAGGGAGGGAGTTTACTGTCTGACAGCCAGTCTGCCACCAGGTCAGAGGGGAGAGGAGTGCAAGGGGTGGCACCAAACGTCCCTGGCTCCGGCAGGGCAGAGGGCAAGGCCACCCACATTGCAGTCACCACTTCCTGGGCAGCCTCGCTTCCTGTCTCTTGTGGCAGGGCCATCAGGTACCCACCCTTCAGAGCGTCTGCCAGAGCTGTCCCGGGCCCCGCAGGTCTCCGGTGCAAACACACTGCTTTCACTCCTGCGGTTCCATCCGATCTGCGCTCTCTGGTCCGTGCTGGTCACCCTGTCTGGCCCTGGCTAGGCTGTGTGGGGAGGCCAGTGGGTAGGCTCGCCGATTTCATCATCAGCCTAGAAAAAGGTGGGCACTCTCAGCCCCAGTGAGCAGGGGAGGAGCCTGGGGCTCAGAGAGGTGAAGTGACAGGAAGCCTCAGAGGACCGTGTGTTCCAAGAGTTGGATTTAGACCTGAATAGGGGAGGGGTTTGTCAGAAAGAGGCCAAACCCCTCCCCTGCTCATTTTCTCTTCTGTACATGTCCTGGGCAAAAGCATCCTCTTGTCAGTCCCCGAACTCCCCCACCCCCTTGTTAGCTGGTACAGGTGCTCCGAGGGTCAGCCTTGCCAAGGGTTAGGGTGCCAGCCCTGGGGCAACAAGAGCTGCCACACGGATCCCTCTGGCCGGGGAACAGAGTCCTTCAGAGTGAGCCCACTCTTCCTCCAGGAGGAGGCAGGCCTGGCTACAACCTGTGCGGCTTCTTAGGCCCAGGAGGCTGTCAAAACGCTGCCTCTCCAGCTGGGAGCAAAGTGAGGGTGTGCAAGCCATGCGCCAAGTGGGCCCCTCCAGGTCCAGCCTCGGGGCCTCTCTCAGCCACGCGTGGGTGACTGAGTGAGTGAATAAAGCCGAGAACTGTGCCACAGGGAGGCTTTCTGGAAAGACCCGTGAATGGCATGGCCAGCAGGTCCAGCCTCTGCCCAGGGCCCAGTGCTGATGGGACAGTGTATCCAGCCTGTGACTGCGCACAGGCCAGCTTGGGTTGGACCCACCAAGAGATCGAGACCTTGGGTGGCCAGGGTTTGCACCCAGTGCAGCACTTCCCAGCTCTGGGCCTTCCGGGTTTCAGTTTCCACTCCTCTGAGTTCTAGTTCCCCTGTCTGTAGAATGGGATAAGGATCGCACTAACCAGAGGGGTCCCAGTGAAGACGGGGCAGAACCTAGCACAGTGCCCTCCCGCTAGCGGTGGTTGTCCTTGCTGCTCTGGCTTGTAGAAGGGTGGCCGGCTCGCAGGGTGGGGGCTCCATGGAGAACTGAAAGGAGGCCGAGTGCCTGGGATCAGGGCGTCCTCCCTGATTGACTTGTCCCCACGGCCAGGCAGGAGTTTTGCTCAGAGAAGCAAGAGCTGGGGCCGTGCTGCCGCCATGGAAGATGTGCTTTTCTAACATTGTAGCCGTGCGCCTCCGCCCTGGGAGGCTGCTCGGGAAGGCGTGGCCACCGCGGCCTCCCAGAGTTATTCACAGCTGACAAAAACATTGCAGCACCGACAGCAAGTGCGCCGTGTCCCCTAGCAACCGTGCAGGCAGTTCCGGCTGCGCAGGGCTTTGCTGCCTGTGGGCCTGGATCTGGTTTCCAGGGGTTTACTCGAGCCTGGCCTGGCCTGAGCCGGGCTCAGCGGGCAGGGGCGGCTCTCAGACACACCCCAGCGGAGGATAATAGTGAGGAACCCCTTCCTCAGGCCTCGTTTCCCACGGCTCTCCCCCGAGAGGCAGATCCCACACCTGCTTCCTTTTCACTGGTCACTCCCCACTCACCGTGTCCTCAGTGCCTGGACTGCGGTCTGCTTGGCTGCCCACCAAAGCAGCCTTGGCTTCCGGCACTCTGGCTCCTCAATCCCTGCATCTCCCATCTCTGGGACTTTCCAACCCATCCGTGCCCCCGTCCCACTCAAACCCTGTCACCACCTCCAAATCCCCACATTCCCCTCCTCACCCACAGCCTCCTGTTCTCCCTGCTCAGTTGCCTCCTGGGCCTTCTACCCTTCACTGTCCCTTATTTTCTTCATTGGCGTTAGCTCGCTGCCTGTACTCTCGCCCCTGTATGGAGGCCACACCCCTGCCAGAGCCCCCGCCAGAAGGAGCCACACTCTGCCCACCGTGAGAAGGCGGGTCCCCCAAGATGCCTGCCCCCGAGTCTAGGCAAGCCACGTTCTGGGCTCCCCAATCCACCAATCTCTATCCCTACCCACCTCACTCAGGGCCCCCCATCTGATCGCAGACAACCTCACTTCCTGTTCCTCAGACCAGAACCCTCCGCCTTCGTGCCAGGCGATCCTCTGTGCCCCTCCGCCGGCTCTCCTCCCCAAGCGCCCTTTTCCAGCCCCCGCCCTGCAGCACAGAAGTCTCTCTTCCCTTCCCCCCTCTTTGTCTCCAGGATTCCACCAGCATTTGAATCTATTTTACCTTCTCCCAATTTCAAAAGCAGATCTTTCCCTCCCACCTCCCTCTAGTCGTGGGTTTCTCCATCATTTCCTTCTTTCCTTTCCCATCATTCCTCACTGCTCTTACTTCCTTGCTTCCCAGCCTGACCATGCTCCTGCCACCATCACGTTGCAGAACCTTCCCGCAGGCCAACAGCCTCCTCCGTCTCCCAAGGCCCCGCAGTCACTTCTCCATCCTGTCCCCAGCCCTCTCCGCAGTGGTTGCCACAGTCAATCGTGCCTTTGTTCTTGAATGACTTCTTGTTGATGCTCTGACCAGATCCCCCCACCCCCCTTAACACCCCAGTTCGCTCTCCCTCTCTGAGTTCTCCTTGGTCTAGTGAGCATCCGCCACACTCGGCCTGGGCTCTCAGTGCTGCATCAGCTCCACAGCTTTGCTCTCCATCGGAAGGACTCCAGCCCACCCCACCCCACCCCCCCTCCCGAGCTCCAGCACCTCATGCCCAGCATGCCCACAGGTCCAAGGCTGCTCCTCCCGCTGCCTCCATCTCCAGGAATTCCTCCAGCCCTGGTCCATTCTAGTTTCAGGTAACCGGCTGTGTGTCCTCCTGCTCTTCCTTTCTCCTCAGCCCACATCCAGGTTCTCTCTGCAAAATTTGCTGACATCAAAACAATTTCATCAAAATGTAAAACCTGCCTTTATTACCAATCTCTGCCCTAGTTTTGGAGGACTTTGTTCCTTGTTTTTTAAGAGAGCATTTTATCTTTATAACCAGAAAAAAAGCAATAAGGACAGTGTGAGGAGCCTGACAGCCTGGCTGAGCTTCTAAAGTGGCCTCAATGCTTTGTCCCCCAAAGCCATCCCGGGAGAGGAATCCTACAGCATTCCGTCACAGGTGGCTGTTGTACCGAGCGAGCGTCTTGGGAGAAACGAGAGAAGTAGTTGATGATTCCAGGGTGAAGTGGGAATAGGGTTAAGAGTTAGGGTACCAGCCGAGACCGGTTTGGCTCAATGGATAGAGCGTCGGCTTGGGGACTGAAGGGTCCCGGGTTCGATTCCGGTCAAGGGCATGTACCTTGGTTGCGGGCATATCCCCAGTAGGGGGTGTGCAAGAGGCAGCTGATCGATGACTCTCTCTCATCGATGTTTCTAACTATCTCTCTCCCTTCCTCTCTGTACAAAATCAATAAAAATATATTTTAAAAAAAAAAAGAGAGAGAGAGAGAGTTAGGGTACCAACCAAAGAATGTTGGCATAGTTGGGATTCTCAGAAGGAAGTGTCCTGTTTTCTGTGGTCCAGACATTATTGATTGGGGCGGGGGGGGGGGGGGGGATTGAGCATTTATCTGTAATATCCTGTATTTTTTATATCTTTTCATATCTACCACTGTTTATTGTAAAACAAACATATTCAGAATTTCTAATAGGATAAAAAAAAATATGCCAGTAAAAGTTCTACTACTACTCTCTTCCTGTCCTGCAATGAACCATCTATGCAGCAGCCTGGGCAGCTCACCGTGAGGCCGCTGGCCAACAGCAGTCCTTCTGGCTTCACGGTGGCATGTGAGAGGTAGATTTGAGGACCCCTCCCCCCAGAGAGTATGTTAGGCCCCAGGCCCGGCGTCTGTGTTTTGAATCAGCTGGCCTAGGTGTTTGATGCTAGTAATTCTCTGGACATGCCTCAGGAATCCTTCCTCCAGAGTTTCAGATGAAAGACAAGAAACAAAACTACTGGTAGATTTTTATAGGAAGTATTTAAGTATACTTTGGGGAGAAATCTATAACTCTGAGCCTCACCTCACCTGGCTTCTTACCTTAAGAGGTTAGGTTTAAGTGTGAGAAAACTCCGGAATGGAATGTTTTAGAAAATTTCCAAAAGCTGGACCTTGACTGATGTGTTTTGAAGTCAGTTATATCGACTGGTTTGTTTTAAAGCCTCCAAAGTAGCCATGAATCCATCCAGTTGTTTTCATCCCCACTGACCCCACACACATCAGGTCGTGTGACCGCCAGGAAGAAAACAGACTGGGATACCAGGAGATAGTGTTGGACTGCCATGGACAGGAAGGCCTTCTGGATGTGATAGGGTCCGGCTTTGGGGGAAGAGTAGAACGTACACCAAGGCTCCGCGGCAGAAGTGGGCTGCACACACACAGAAAGTGACGGGAGGTGGGGCAGGCCTGGAGGCCCGTCGGGACAGGGCCCTGAGGTGACTGGATCAGAATGAACAGGAGATTAGACTGGATCAGACTCAACAGGCTCTCTGCTGTGTTTTGCTCTGTGATAGAAGGAAGCTATATTTGTTACCTGGAGCAACTGTAACAAAGTACTACAAACTAGAGGCCCAGAGGTCACCCAAGCTGATTCCTCCACAGGCTCCGAGGGGGATCTGTTCCGCGCCTCTCTCCTAGCTGCTGCTGCCTTGGAGATCCATGACTCCAGTCTCTGCCTTGCTGTCCTGTGGCATTCTCCCTGGGCGTGCCATCACATGGCCATTCACAAGGACTTAGTGGCGTTAGGGCTCACTCGTATCCACTGTGACCTCATCTTAACTAATTACATCTGAGGTTCCACACAGACGCCGACGGAGGATCTGGATTTTCATAGGATTGCTCTGGTTTGGCAGAGGGGTCCAGCTGAAGATGATGGGGGTGACGGAGCGGCGAGGGGACTGAGGCAAGGAGTCGCATCCCGGGAAGGACTGATGGGCATACTGACAAATCAGCGATGGGGCAGAGGAGGAGGAGCTGGGTCATTAAGGACTTACACACCACCATCAAAATCTCTGCACAGCTCTGCTTGGCCTGCCTCAGCGAGGCCTCAAAGCCTCACTCTCTAGCCACGAGGCCTCACTCTGCCTCTCCCCGGGCTGGCCTTTCTCTGGATTCCTGTCCCCAGCCTGTCTCCCTCTCTGTGATCAGCCCCCTCCCGCCCAACTGCCCCTTTCTCCAGGAAGCCTGGTCCTGTCAGTACTCAGTCAGCATTTGTCTGCCCCCCTGGGCTACAAATCCTGAGAAGAAAGGGACCTATATGGCATTGCTCACTGCTGAGCCCAGGACCCAACACCACGGGTGGAGGAGATGGGTTGGCGAGAGGCCCTGAGGAGATCAGACAGGCCAGTGTGCCAGAGCAAGAGTGCCCAGGCTGGGCCCCTGCTGCCCTCTTTGGAGGTACTGGCCGCTAGGATGGCTTGGTGCTCCCCGTCTATCCTGGTGCGCTCACCAGTGTGAGTGCCACTGAGAGTCTTCCTGCAAGGCCAGGACGGAAGCAGGCGTTCTGGATCCTCCTTCACAGCTAGGCCCGGGAGGGAGATGAGGATGCTCGTGCCTACAGCGAGGACTGATCACGGCCACCCCCAGGCCAGAATGGTGCCCATGACAACAGGCCGGGGGCGCCAAAACCCAGAGATCATCCCAGGCAGCTTAAGGACCTGCAGCTTAAGGACATGCAGCCTGAACTTGAAGATGGAACCCCACTGGAGACAGAGAACGAGTGTTAGCTGGAAAGACCCTGGTGGGACCCAGAATTTCAGCTCAGCAGCCCCTGGCCAGTCTCTGCCACTGGAAGTTCTGACCTAAACTGAAGATGACAAGGAAGTGTTTCGGGGAGGGGCCTGGTCTTGGCTCAGAGAGCAGCTTGTGAGGGGGACACACTGGAGAAAGCCGTCACGTAAACAGAGCAAAAATGGCCCGTCCTTCAGGCGCTTCCAGACCAGGCCAAGAGGCTGTTCCTCTCTGGCCTTAGGAGGCCAGGGCCCCGCCCTGCCCTGGGAGTTCTGTCTCTGGTTGAGCACATGCATGTGGATGAGGGGCCTTGGTATGTGCAGGTGTGGGCCTGGCTCGGGTCCTAGGGCAGCAAGTAGGCCCAGGTGGGTTGGAGACTGCCTGTTTGCTGGGGTTCTCTCGCTCCATGCACCATGGCCTTTCATGACTCAGGATAGGCGGCGGCTTTTGCTATGGCTGAAGAGTTTCTTTGGTGGGAAAGAGACCTTGGACAGGAGGCAGAGGGATGGACTGGTGACCCCGCAAGGCCCGATGAGGCTTGGCGCACTGTGGATATAGGGGAGGGCAACTGTGTTAGAAGGGCCTTGGGCAGCAGCGTGGCTGACTCAGCCAGGAGGGCAGAGTCACCAGCCTGGGCCCCCAGATGCTCTTTGTTCACTGGCTCAGCCAGGGCCTCGGGTCAAGGCTGTGCTCGGCCCATGTTTTGTATCCGGGAATTGTGGCTTAGGGCTAAGGACACTCGTGGTCTGGGAATCGATTCCCGGATGTCCTGGGCAGGTTAGGCAGTGGTGGCCCCCAGGGCTGGAAGGTCAGGGGTCGTCACCCTTGGGTAAGGCGGAACATGTCCCTTGTGTTTCCTCAGGTTAGAAATCTGTGCTACATGGTGACAAGGCGCGAGAGAACGAAGCACGCCCTCTGCAAACTCCAGGAGCAGATATTCCACCTGCAGATGAAACTTATTGAACAGGATCTGTGTCGAGGTAGGCGCCTTCCCTGCCCAACACCAGCCGCCTCAGTGGACACACACCCAAGGGGTTGGGTTCCAGGAAGGGTGTCTATGGAGCCTGGTTTGGGGCATGTGCATGGGGCCCGGGGCCACTGGCACCCACCCCTACCCTCCGTCACTCAGCAACTGAGCCAAGAAGGGACCTCCCCAGGGTCCCGGGTCTGTACTGTTAGGCAAGGAGCCAGAGACGGGAGTGCGGGCATCAGGCCTGCCCTCTGAGAGCGTTCTGATCCACTAGGGACACCCAGGTAGCGCCAGGGCCACAGTGGGAAGTAGTAAACTGCATGTGCACAGGTGTGGACCAGATCCTAGCGGCGCCATGCTGGCGCTGGGGCAGGAAGGGCCAGAAGCTGGCGAGCTTCCCTGACTCGTGTGCCTGAGTGCTGAACCGGAAGAGAGCGGCCGCCCAGTGATGGAAGAGGCCCTTTTCTCTGACCTCCGAGGACTCGGGCCCTGTGCCAGAAGCTATTCTTACTTCTTCTTACTCTCCTGCTTCACATGCATGTAACAGACTTGGAAATCAAAGGCTCAAGAAGCTCTGGCATTGCTTTTATCTGTTAGTTGTGTGGACATGGGGCTCTTCCTGGAGTCTTCACATGTGTAGGAGAGCAGTGCTTGACCCCCAAATGGCGCGCTCGTGTTGGGTTACCTGCAGCAGGAATAGCCGGATGGAGAGAGATTTGAGTCAGGGTCTGCCCCTGCCAGCTCAGCTCTGGGCCAGGCGGGGCCTGGAGAGGACAGAGACGAGAACTGCCAGGCCACCACCGGAGCCGATGACTGAGGACCGGCCACCCCTGCCTGAGAGCCAAGCTGCCTCGTCTGCACTTTGGGGTCACCACCCTCTCTGGCCCAGGAAGCCAGGGGTGCCAAGTAACGACGATGGGTCCCAGCCGTGCAGAGCTCGGAGCTCGCGGTGCACCCTCAAGACTGAGACAGCTTCCTGGCTCCGGAGTGTTCCCAGCTCCCTCTCCGCTGTGATTGGTTCCATGAGCACTAACTGAGCTGTGATTGGTTCCATGAGCACTAACTGAGCTGTAATTGGTTCCGTGAGCACTAACTGAGCTGTGATTGGTTCCGTGAGCACTAACTGAGCTGTGATTGGTTCCGTGAGCACTAACTGAAGGTGGACGGAGGCCGGGCCCCGTGCTGGGCCTGCGGGCTGAACGGACAAGGTCCTGCCCTGATGGAGCTCACCGTCTGGAAGGACAAAGGGGACCGCGGCGGCGCTGGTGCAGGGAGAGAGGCAAGGGAGGCTTCGCGGCGGCAGTGATTCTGCAGAACCTCCGGCTTCCGAGGACCGCACTGTGAGCACGTCCAGCTGCGGGACAGGCAGCCGAGGCCGCAGAGTGGCAGGACCTGCAGTGCCCGAGGCACGGGATTCCGGAAACACGTTTAAGAGTCGCAATGTTTGCAGCTCCCAGAGCTGAGTGGCTACAACAGGCAGCCCTTGTTCAGGGCAGAAGACTGGTTTTCCTCTGCCCAAAGCTGGCGCCCTGGGTGTTGAGTGCTTGACCCCGGCGTGGGACGTGGGCTGCAGGCACATTGCCAAGGGCTGACTAGCCAGAGGGCTTGAGAAGGCTTCCCCTGGCAGAGATAGGTATTTAGGCTGGAGCTGAACCAGGTAAAGATCAGGCCAAGGAAAGGGCATTTTTGGAGACCCAGAGACCAGAGCTTATTGTTAGAGAAACGGGAAGGGAGCTGCTGGCATCGGTGGGATTAGAGCGGAAGGACGATGTCCACAGTGAGGCTGAGGGGGTGCCAAGGTTGGCCACGCAAGGCCTTGTGACCCTCAGAAGGAGCGCAGGTTAGCTGAGGACGGTGGGGCCTCAGAAGCCTGCCTTCAAAGTACATGGGCCCTGGTCCCATGTTACAGATGTGGAGATGAGGCCCAGCAGGAGTGCACAAGGAATCAGCAGCCAAGCTGGGAAGGTTATAGAGCTGGGCCCACACCCCCCAGCACTTTCTTAAATCCTTACTCAGGGAGCCCTCCGGCCTGCAGCTGAGAAGCTGGGAGAATCTTCCTGGCAACTGGGCCTCCCCCTCCATAGGTCCCTCCCTGCTCAGGTGCCCTCTGTGGCTCCCTGCACCTGAATGGCCGTGGACTGAAGGGGTATGAAGGCCAGGTGTGCAGCCAGGTCTCCCATCTCCTGTCTGACCTCAGAAGCAGACCAGGAGACCAAGGCAGGAGACCAAAACCTCTCGACTCCTCAGATAGTGTTCTGTCCACCTTCATGTCCAGCTCCTTGGCCTGGCATTCAAGGCCCTGCCCTGCCCACTCACCTCCAGCCAGCCTCCCACACACCAGGCCTCTCCCAGGACCTGCATGCCATGCAGGTCAGGCTGCAGTCCAGATGCTGCAAGGTGGCCCTCCACCCACTTCAAGGCCCTGTGCCCGCCCCAAACCCCACCAGAGCGGCAGTGGGCAGTGACCACACTCTCCCACACCACCTCGCCCTGAACTCACAGGTGCCTCCGCTATCCAAGCCCCCAAGGCCCTGAGCTGGGGTACAGAGCAGGGTGAGGCCCCAGGGCGGTGAGGAGGGATTTGGGGAGGCAGGGATCCTGGTTCTGGCTGAGGCAGTCAGGATAACCACCTGCTCTCTTTCCTGGCGCAGAGCGGTCTGGGAGGAGACCAAAGGGCAAGAAAAGCGACTCGAAAAGGAAGAGCCGCGAGGGCCCAAAGGGCAGCCCTGAGAAGAAAGAGAAAATGAAGGCGGGGCCCGACTCAGTCCTGGGGCAGCTGGGTAAGTGGCCACGCTGGCCGGGCAGACTGGCAAGGCTCACACCATCACTCCACTTGCAGCCCCATAGAAGGCCGGCTGGGACCATCAGCTCCCACCTACCCAGAGTGGGGGGCCTTCTCTGCCCAGGCACTCACACCTCCTGGTCATAAAAGAGACTAGGGTCTCAGAGCCCGGGCTGCCATCCTGAGAAATCCCCCTTTTGTGGACCTGGAGGCTGTGTCCAGCAGCTCAGGAACTGACTGCTCGGTCCACTGGCCAGGGTCCTGGAGGCCCTGAAGGTAGGTGTGGGTCCGGGATTTTCCATTCTCGTCCCACTCTGCCAGAACCTTCCCACACGGGCCTTCACAGTACCAGTGAACCTTCATGGCAGAGAGACCCGAAGGAGTGGCCAAAGACATTGGCCCAACCCCCCTTCCGCTGTCACAGACCCCCATACTGCTACCCCCTAAGCCAAGCTGCCCTTGAGGGGACTCAGCAGTGGGCTTTGTCTCCCAGGAGGTCGTGTGCTTCCCCTGGAGCACTTCCCAGGGGTGGATGCGGAGTCCCCTTCAAGACCTCACTTCCAGCACAGAAGCCCCACTGCTCAGTTTTCCCCTCAGTTTCAGAAAGGGGACAAGTTGGGTGTCCAATGGGAGGCTAGCTGTCCCGAGACCTGAGTAAAGAAGGGATGGCCTACAGCTAGAGCAGGCACTGACATCCAAGAGGGGCCTCATACCCTGATACATGGCCACCTTCCTCGCGCCTGACACCCTTATCCAACTTCCTTGTTTTGGAAGCTCTGGGAGACAAGGTGCATAGAAATCCAGCGCCCCCTGGTGGCCTGAGGGCATTTTTCTCCATTCCTCCGCTCCCTGCACCTCATGGGTGTGCAGGCTCAAAGGGCCTTGCTTGTTTTAATGTTCTGCGGTGGCCACCTTAAAATTCTCAATAATAATTTTTGAACAGGGAGCCTGCGGAGCTCGCTGGGGAGGCCGAGGCCCAAAAGGGCTTCCAGAGAGGGTGGGACTTGCACCTGCTGGCATCTCACCATCCCCGTCTCTCCCCGCTGCCAGGCCTGTCCACCTCGTTCCCCATCGACGGCACCTTCTTCAACAGCTGGCTGGCGCAGTCGGTGCAGATCACAGCGGAGAACATGGCCATGAGCGAATGGTCGCTCAATAACGGGCACCGCGAGGACCCGGCCCCCGGGCTGCTGTCAGAGGAGCTGCTGCAAGACGAGGAGACGCTGCTGAGCTTCATGCGGGACCCCTCGCTGCGGCCCGGCGACCCCGCCAGGAAGGCCCGCGGCCGCGCCGCCCGCCCGCCTGCCAAGAAGAAGCCGCCGCAGGACGGGCCCGGCGCACGGACGGCTCCGGACAAGCCCCCCAAGAAGCCCTGGGGCCAGGATGCAGGCGGCGGCAAGGGGGGTCCAGGTCAAGGGCCACCCACCCGGAAACCTCCACGGCGAGCGCCTTCGCACCTGCCGTCCAGTCCGACAGCCGGGGACTGCCCCATCCCAGCGGCGCCCGAGAGCCCCGCGCCGCTGGCCCCCGACGCCCCCGACGAGGCGGCCCCCACGGCCGCCGACGCGAATGTCCAAGTGCCTGGCCCGGCGGCGGCGGCGGCGGCGGCGGCGGCGGCGGCGAGCCGGCTGCGGCCGCCCCGCGAGAGCAAGGCGGCCCGGAGACCCGCGGGCGCCAGGCCCGATGCCGGGGCGGGACCCCCTTCCGCGGCGGCCGAGACGCCACAGGTCAGCTCACACTTTGACGCTGAGACTGATGGTTTCTTCTCTGATAGGGAGATGAGCGACTCCGACGTGGAGGCTGAGGACAGCGGGGTACAGCGGGGCCCCCGGGAAGCAGGGGCTGAGGAGGTGGTCCGCATGGGGGTTTTGGCCTCCTAAGTCCCCCCTATCCCCGTCTCAGGCCCTGCCCTAGGGCCCCCCTCCCACCCCACAGGCCTCAGCCCAGTCACAACTGCCATTTCCAATCTGCTGAGTGTCCCAGACCCTCAACGCTGCCACTCCGCTGCGGTTTTATTTTTAATACAGAGAGAGTTCCGACTTCTACACTGTTGTCTTTCCTCTGTGCTGGCCCAGGACATTAGATCCCTCCCACAGCCCTGGCTGCAGGGACTGGGCCACGTCCCGTGTAGCACCCCCACGGCAGCGCGGCCCCGCCCGGTCCACGGGCTCCTGGCTAGATGCAGACCGGTTTCAGGACGCCAGCCCGCTGCCACCGGGTGACACAGAATGTCATTTGGGCATTATCTCGCGGCAGGTGGGCCAGCCCCCGGCCTGCCCACCTTGCCCTCCAATTCCACTGGAGTCCATTCGGGGGGTCCTGCTGCACTCCACTGATCCCCAAGGAAGTCTCTGATACGTGGTCCCCAGCCAGAGTCTACTCACTGTCACAAGCACAACGAGCTTCTATGAGAAAGCACTGAGGGGGCGCAGAGGGCCCCGCTGGTTCCAGGGGAACCGCAGCCGCTCCCGTCAACCCGCACCGAGGGCCGGCCCACCCGCCCCCGCCCCTCCATCCCTGCTGCTCGGCCCGTGCCAGCGCCCAGCCCTGCAGCCCCGGGAAGGGGCTTCCACAATCCTTCCTGAGCTGTGCCACTTACTCAGGGGACCCCCGGGCAGCCAGCCGCCAGCGCCGGCGGTGGGCTGCCAGGGAGGGCCAGTGCCCAGGCGGGGCGTGGGCTCGGACCTGCCCGCGGCAGAGAATCACTCCGGGCTCCAACTTCCTTCCTTCCGTAGGAGCCAGTCTCGGCCCAAGTCCGGTCACTCCCAGGCCGCTGACCAGGCCGATCGCCTTTTCAGGTTTCCCAGTCCTGCTAAGAGACGAGCTGCTTCCTCGGTTTCCTTCTGGAAACTCCTTCCAACTGGCAGTGGGATCCCGGGGCCCAGGCAGCCAGCTCGGCTGCTGGGGCTGTTTTAAGTCTTGCTGGAGGCTCCTGGTCCCTCTCCCTCCAGCCTTAACCCCCCTTTCCCCACTGCGCCCTCCCTCCCCACCCCTCCCCATCCTCCCGCCTCCCCTCCCCTCCAGGTCCAGGTAGCTGTTCTGAAGGGTTTTAGTGGAGTGGCCCCAGGGTGATAGCTCAGGGAACAAACAAACAAAGGAATTCAGTGAACACGTGTGTGTGTTTTTTTTTCATTTGTGAATTATTCCTGGGTCACTCCCGCCACTGGCAAAGCCAGAACTTCTCCAACCAGAACCTTGCAGAAGCCCAGTGACAGCCGAATCATTCTGTGGATGCCAAAGAATATTTTGACCACAACACAGCACAGCCTGGGACCTACCAACTTGTCACTTGGACTTTTGTAACGGCGTTCTTCAGCGACAACTTACAGAAACACGCTCCTGGCACACACCCAAGGAGACCAGCCCGAGCTCTTGGAAAGAGGATGCTGCTGGACTGTGGAACCAGGCGTTGGGTTTCGAACCCTGGGCTGGGCCCGAGGGAGCCTCCAGCCTCGGCGCCTCGGGGAGGAACCCGGCGGGAACCAGCACGGCCGGTGGCCGGCGTCCCGACCGCCAGGTTCCCGCGCACCAACGAACACACACGGCGCGAATCGAATCGGCGGGACGGGGAGCGGCTTGACCACTGGCCCCCGAGTCCAAAAACTACCAAGGTACGACAGTGGCACCGTCATTGACTCTCAGCTTCATGTGAATCTTAGCAAAACAGGAATCGAGGACGATGACGAAGTTCAGGGGCTGGACCGACGCGTCCGTTGGAACGGACGCAGCAGGCGTCAGGACTCCGGGCGCTGGGACGGCAGGAGCGGCCGCTCGGTTCAGTCTGCCTGCCACCTGGGTAGCGGTGGCCAGCGCAGCGTCAGCAGCAGCGTCCCAGCCCCGTTCTCTGTTTACTGCCTTTGAACAGACCTCCTTCCCCCCCCACCCCCACCGTGCTTCACGTCACAGCCCTGTCTGTGCTGGATTGCTCAGTCTGACCTCGCAGGAAGCAAAGGGATGAGCTTAAAGAACAACCAAACTGCCCCCTGGGGTGTGGGGACCGGCGTGCCAGGAATGGCTTAGGTCCGGAAACTCAGTGCTCGCCCCCCTGACCCCGTCATCCATCCTGAGGCAGGGTCTGGGCCCCCTGGAGGCAGGAGAGGACCTGGGAGGGAGCACAGTGGGTCTGGCCCAGGCGGGGCAGCTGGCCATCTTCTCTCCTGGCTCTGGCTTTGTTTGGGCAGATTAGCCCTGGGGCGTGGTGGCTTGTTAGGCCAGGCCAGGCCCTAACCTCTCCTCCTCAGGCAGCTGCCCACCTTCAGGATGTCCACCTGCCGTGAGGAGGGTGAGGATGCCGCTGTCCACTTCTCTCCACCATTGGCCACAGCCCCTTCGCACTTTCCCAGCCTCTGTCGCCGTGCGGAAGGCTCTGCCACCCCTGAGGTTGAGGTGGGGGGAGGCAGACGAGAAGAGGCCTTCCCAGGCCAGAGGCTGGGGCCGATCTTGCCCTCGACCTCACCGCCCACGCTCACTGGCCCTCAGGGAGGGAGAAGCTGCTCGGTCCCTCGTCCTGGCTGTCGTCCTCATTCCCCAGTCCCAGCTGCCCACCTCCCCCTCCCCGTCATCACAGTGAGAAAGGATAATGCGCAAGGGAAGTATTTTTATGGATCATAAATGTATTTTACCACAAACGAGGAGAAAGGAAGAAGGGTTTATTTTGTTAAATGAGCACCGACTTGGTGACGGTGCGTGAGCGCTTGTAAGGGAGAGGCCCCCCAGGTTTCCACACGGGGGGTTGGGCCGTGGATGAGTCCCCGCGTGTCCCCGCGTGTGGATGGGCACACTGTGGGACTTGCTAGGGCCATTCCTAGAGAACCAGCTGCCCGGCTCTCACAGACATTGGCAACAGCTGGACTTGGCCTTCCCTTGCTCACCGCCGGGTGTGGCCAACCTCTGCCCACGCCCACGGTCTGCAGCATGGTCTGGATGCCCTGCAGCAAGGCCCGTGGGGAGGCCACTTCCCATGCCCCTGGCCCAGCTGGCCACATTGGCCAAAGAGCCAGGGCTGGGGTCGGGGACCTTTGGTTGTTCTTTAGGGCACTTCCTGCCACCTTGTCCCTCAGCCGCACAGCTCTCTGTGCTCCACATCGGCTCGGGGTGTGGGGATGATATGAATGTCACAGGAGGAGACGCACCTTCTGTCTTTGTTTCAAAGAAAGTGATGTGCCATTTGTTAATATACAAGAGAAATATCGAAAATATATTGAAAAGAGCAATTTTAAATTATTTTTGGCTTATGTTGCAATATTTATTTTCTTGTATTAGAAAAGATTCCTTTGTAGAGAAAAAATGTATTTTTCATTAACGCAAAGACCTATTTCTCCTTTTTGTACATTGTCCGTGTTCGCTACCCTCGATGAGCAATAGAATGTACGGCCTCCCCGGTGTGGCCAGCGCCCACCGCGCCCTGCATGACATGTGTTGCCGCCGCTACGTAGCTTTCAGTCCCATCCTGTCCTGCTCACTCCCGGGCCTCCGGACCTGGCCGCCACCAGGGCCTGCGTCTCAAGGAGCCCTTTGCACTCCTCATGTGTTGGCAAACGCAGTTAATAAAGCAATGTTTTCTGTGCTGGTTGGCGTGAGGCTTCGTTGCATTGAGTGGGCCCGGGGCCTGCGAGTCCCGTGCGCAGCCTGGATGTGCCACGGGGCTGCTGCTGCCCCCTCGGGAGCGCTCGGCGGGCCCGCCGCTGTGCCTAGAGCTGAACTTCCTTTGCCCTCACTGTTGTCGCCCCCTAGGATTCAGAGCGGATGAGGGACACGCCCAAAGCCACACCTCTGGGAAGAGAAGTCCTACATCCCAGGCAGGTTGTTGGATTCTTACTCCCATGAGCTGGGACAGTGGGAAGGTTTGGGAGGGAGCTTAGCAATGTCAACAGGGAAGAATTTTGCTCAGGTTTGTGTCTCATTATGTTCTGAGCTCCGAGCACAGAGCAGTCCAAGCTCTGGGAAGGGTGGGAAGTGTCACCGTCCCTCCCAGGGCAGCTCACAGTCCAGCAGGAACACAGACATGAGGGAAAGGGAGTCATGGAGGCTTGGGCTGATGGTGGGGGCGACTGGAGGGGCATACAGGAAGTAACACCATTCAGTCAGTCATTCAACAATGAATCCGTTTGATCACACACCTGTTCTGCCAGTGCTCTGGGTTGTATACTGTGCCTGTCACCAGGGGCTGTCCTCAGAGCTTCCAGGCAATGGGACCCGAAGAATAGACAGTTGCCCAAAGAGAGCTGGATAGAAGGAAGGGACAGGAAACATTCCTGGTAGAGGACTTGGCACAGGCAAAGGGGCCAAACAATGCAGGAGTGGGTCTTACACCGCAGAGCCCAAGGCTGCTGTGTGGAAGGATTGAATTGGGAATCTAGCTTCTGGAGCCGCTGACTTAGTCATTTAGGACAGCAAATTGCCCCATTTTCTGACCAGGGCGATAGGAGGCAGGTCCCCAGAGGCACCTCCAGACTCACTGTTCTGTGAGTCCTCAGCGTTGGAAATAAGCCCGGGGCTCCTGGGAGGCCCCAGGAGCTGTGATCTGGAGCGGCCCTCGGCCAGCTGCCCTGGGCTCAGCTCCCCGGCCTCTCCCTCCGCCTGGGGCCAGCCCGATGCCACAGTGACCCAAAGAGCCACGCGAGGCCCCCCCACAGCCCTGCGAGACCCGCACCTGACAGCACACCCAGCTGACAGATGTGGGCACCTGAGGGTCAGAAGCAGCCACGTTCAATGGAAATAATAGTACAAGTAATAGTAGGTGCTACACATTTTTAAAATCACAGAAAAAATAATTTAATGATTTTATTTAATTCATTATATGCAATATATGGTCACATAAACATGTAATTAATATAAAAGAGTCATTAACAAAGTGTTTTCATTCTGTTTGTACTGTGTTCTAAATTACACCTCCATCTGGATGAGTCACATTTCAAGCTCAGTAGCCACATGGCTCACAGCGACTCCACGGCAGTGCAGCCCTAGAGACGGTCAGCTGTGCCTGGACTGCCCGGGTCTCCTATCTGATCGGCGCTCCTAGGCCTGCACTCCTGTCTCTGCCTCTGCCGTCCCTGCCCCCGAGAGCCCCTGAGGACTGGGCAGGTGTAGGCTGACCTGGCGGCGGCTTCCCGTGGAGGCCAGCTCTCTGCCAGCAGCTCCCGGGGGGTGTCCATGCACCCACATTTCCGTCGTGCCTGCCTGATTCAGCACCCACTGAGCACCTGCCGCTGGGCCCTGGGGCCACCAGGATGACACAGCCCCTGTGGCGAGGCCAGGCCCGTGTGGGAGATGGACTTTAATCAGATCATCCCAAAGCAACGTGCAGCCACTCACTGAGACTGGATGTGAGGCCTGCAGGGGGAAGGTCTGCCCTCCCTGAACTTCCTTTACTCTGGCCACTCCTGCAACTAAGATCTGGGGCGCCCTCTACCGCCCGCTGGGCCCCAGCCCTGACATCTCCAGCTCCAAGTCCTGAAGCCCACAAGAGCCGGAGCCAACCCTGCCTTCCCGCCTCAGACTGCAGCCTCTCCCGGGCCCTGCACGCCAATGCCTCCCAGGGCAGAGAGTCTTCTCCACCAGCCACAGGCACGGAGGCAGCTCACGGGCCAGAGGCCTCCTGGGAGAATAAGGCAGTGGCTGAGGCCTGCCGGGTCCCCACCCTGGGTGGAGGGGGGAGGCCAAGGAGACCCAGGCCCTGCCTTCCTGCAGCTGTTGGAAGAGGGAGCCTGTCATATTCCGGGGCTGGCCTCAGCCCTATTGCACCTGTGTCTTCGCCCAGAGCTGCCAGAGGAGGCAGCCACGGCCCCTTTCCTTGGAGACTAGCTCAGGAATGAGGCAGGAAATGCGGGTTGCTCAAAATGGCTCACAGCTGCCCTCCCCTTCGCAGGAGGCCTCCCCCGCTTCGCCTGCCAGGCTCTTACGGGCTTCCACGAAGGCCAGCTCCTTCGCACTGAGGGCTAAGCCAGTCCTCCCCCCCACCCCCATCTGTGTAGTCTACCCAGCCGCGCACTCTGCTTCCC